AAACTTGATATAACCTGCAGGAAAAAAAGCCTCGGGGAATGACTTGTGCACCGCACAAGATAAGATAAGATAGCATTCTTTTTCTTGTATGGTTGTTAATGTCTAGATGTTGACATCTTAAATCTTCCCTATGCTTAGTTCCCCCTATCTTTGGTCAGGAATGGCATTAAAACAGGGGGTTTAAGATTTATGTGATCCATAGAAAGACAAGAAAACCACTCACACCACGGGGTTCAAAAAGAAAATGTGGACTTGGTTAGACTCAAGTTTTGTTTTGTATTTCCCAAAAGTAAATTCTCTGTTGTATTTTCTCCATAAGTGCCCTTTTTATCAGCTTTCACAACCCCCTTTCCCTTGTTTTCTTGAGACCTAAACTGACTGTTAAGTGGTCGATACAGAAGCAATACAGTTTCTTTTAGCAGTGTGTTGGTACTAAACACGGAATCGACCATTTGCGGTGATATTTAGATAAATAAAATGTCCTTCCTCTGTCTCTAGTCTTTAATACTTAAGTCAGTGGTATTGATCAACACTCAGTGTAGATATATTCAGGTCATTTTATATTTCTTGGTGGAAACAGCCTTAAAGTCTTATAAACACAACAGGAGGGACTTATAAGAGGAACATTATTCATAAAGGTAGTCAAGTTGCATATTGGAAAGTAGCATAATTGCATCCCTCCTCATTTTTTCCTAATTTATCTGTATTTGTGTTTGATGTTGGTTCTTGTAACATGTACTTAAACTGGGACACAAACTAACCATAGCCATGGACACCACCACAAAGCCCCCATTGCAAGCCTAGCTTTCTCATTTTACCTCGGTCTTTAGGGCTTTACAGACGTAATTGACCATGTCGGCTTTTGATGTACATCACTGTTGCAGAGCTGTGCGACATGCTGGTTACCACATTCTTCTGGAGATAGGTGAGGCACCACCCAGGGCCCAGAAATGTATCACGACTGGCTTGTTTGACAAATGGTGTGGAGCAAAGGTTGACCCCTGAGGACCGCGTGCCTCCAGTACTGGAGGAAGCTTTCACATAGTCCAATCTTTGACCCACAGCCGTACTATGTTGGAATGATGGTCAGGAAGCTTGAAGCGTAATCTGTTAACAGCTTATTTCCTCATAGAGGTATGTATGTCTCAAAACAAAACAAGTTAACTGAGTAAAATAATCACTTGGGCATGAGTAGATTCTTAAAACTAGTAAATATGAACAAGTTCTGATAAAAGTGAGATCGCTCATTAATGAAAAATCCATGATTGTGGCTTCTATCCTCATTTCAAGAGTCTGAAATTGAATCCATTCAGTAATGTCATGTTGAGCCTTTTTGCTGACAGCCTTTGTTTGCTAAATTAGCCCCTTTCTTTCCTGAGGAGACGTTCAGTGTGGACCCGCTGACTCTGAGCTCATTGGAGCTGTGGGAACGGCTTCCATCACCGCGTACTGGTGAAACTGAGGTGAAAGCCATTCCTGGCAGCGTCAGCGTCTGGAAACCTGCTCCGCTCCATTTTTACCAGCATTTAAGATAAACATGAAATGCTGAGATGCGCGGAAGTCATTTCTCATCAGAGTGTGACATACCTGCTGCTCGGCAGATGACGGTTGACGCAATTGAAAGCTAGTACTGATCCTACTGAACCATTTGTGGGGAATTCCAGTTTAAAGGTGTTATGCAAGCGGGCCTCCTCGTTTTTAAACAACAGGCTTCAGTTACATTCTCATTAGTGTCATTCATCTACTTAAGAGTGGATGGTTTTCAGATGCAAAGGGGCATATTGCACAATTCTGTGCATTGTTCAAAGCCACTGACGGTAACTGCTGAACGTTTGTCTTTAAGGTGCATGGTAAGCATGTTTCTGGACAAAAGGAATACTATTTAATTCACTTTCATAACGATCCTGCTGCAAAGTTCAAATGGAAATGTTAAAACAGTGAACATATCCTTCATATTTCCAAAATGACCACACCCTGTTTATAGATGTAAGATTTGTCTCAGCAACATTTTTAGTTCTCGCAGCCTTATTTTTAGTTTTAGTTATTTTTAGTAGGTGTTGTTCTTATAGGATTTAATTGTATTTCCATACTAGTAAAGAACAACGTGTATTATTATTACAATTCAAAGTGGTTGAAGCGAGGTGGCAACAGCAGTTGGAGGAAAAGTATTAACAGTATTTTTTGGAACCAATGATTCCATAAGTATCGTTTTTCCACCGTAACTAGACAGTGGAACAAAGGGAATGCGAGGCTAAAAGCAATCCTGCCACATGTCATTTCCACCACGGATCCAATCCCACTTCAGTCTGAGGCAATGAGGCAGTTGGAAAACATTAAGGGAGAGCTAGACCCCAGCTACCTTCTGTGGTGTGTGATTGTGTTGTGCACCTGATGGCCCACTGTGACCTACTCTGGAGGATGTCTGTAAAGAACAGTTACTTCATTTATTGCAACTTAAATTTAGTCTCCCTTCCACCCCTCTCTGTGGAAAATCTGTGGTGTATTAGTATGGTAGAAAGGTTTGTGGTAATGGGCGCTACTCCCCTGTGGCTGCAAAATATCGCTTTCTCGTTGTTGGGGGGGGGGGAGGGGGGATTACTGACATACACCACAAAAAGCAAGTGGCCCAACGTCTAAGGTTTCAGGGGCCTGCACACTCAAAACCCTCTATTTGGGAGAATCATATTATTTACAAAGCCTTCCATGGGATAGCAGATTTTATTGGTGAAAGTGACTCACCATTTTTTGATGATTTAGTCTCACTGCAGGAGGAGCACCATCTTTTCACACAGCCTCAAAGCCCAGCGGAACATTCTGGGTTTTAGTGATAATTAGGGGTCTACCAAATGTTCTAGAAAAAGTCAGTTTGGCAAAAGCATTTTCCTTCTTTTATATCCTCACCAGAGCTACTTGAGTTTTGTTGCCCTTATGGATGTACTTTTGAAAGTTCCGAGAATATTTCCGATAAAATGTTACTCCGACTCAACTGGATGGTGGATGGAATAGAAATAAATCTAGAAGGACAAAAAATGTCATTTGGAGAGGACAAAAGATGGAAAAATGTACAGTATTCTCAGATACACCTGTTTTTTTATTCTTGATTAGATTTCATGGTCTGAATTTTGTGATATTAATTTGGAGAGAGTGACTGTAAATGAAATTTTACTGCTGAGAACTAATAAGAACCTGAGGCATGAATCTCTAAGGTTTTCTGGCAACATGAAAATAGCATGAAGCCACTTCTCGTTAATTGAATGTGACTGGCACACACACCGTGACTGTTGGTGTTACTGCTGCACAACAAGCTGGTCTCACAACCTATTTCCCAACTAAAAGAGGGGCGGTGCCTGAACAGAAAGCCAGCTATAGTCAGAGCAGTGGGGAGATCTGTGATTAGAGGTAGAAAAAAAAAAAAGCAGGTTATCTTTCATGTTGTTTCTAAAAATTCAAATGTTACCCATTTCACCATAATAACAAGGTGAAACTTATTTGGCTTAACTTAAGTTTACAAATCAACTATATATGGAGTTTTATGATAACTGCTGATATGTCCAACTCCAATATAAAATATTATATTATATATTATTGTAAGAATGTAATATATTAGTTCATTTGATTAAGCCTTTTTTATGTTTAATGAAATTGTTTGTCTTTTGCAATTTTGACTAAAAATAACAATTTGAATTTGCCTGAAATTAATTTAGATAGTTTATTGTTTTCTTTTTGTTTTTGTTTTTCAGTTTGCAGTTAAGCTTATCAAGTCTAATCAGATTTGACAGCAGAAGTTACAGTATTATTTTTATTCTGGAAGCACCAATTATGCATTAAGAAGTTATCTATTCGGATAAATCATCAGGAGACGCTGCTTTAAAATCTGTATTAGTGCACTTGCAGGCATCGGTCATTCTAAAGTCTCTATAATTTCATTAACGAAATGGTAAATCGTAGAAAAGCAAAGTGAAAAGGATGAGTATTACCAAAACAATCATCCAGAGGCCAATCACTACACTGTCCTAAAAACAGCCTGACATCAGGCAATCTCATTACAATGAGTATTGGTGTTGGGATATTAAGGATTTCTCAAATCGTATGTTTCTTCTTGCCCTTTAAGTCGTACGGGAAAGAAATTTTCTGAGAAATTCAAGCTGCTTACTGATTTACAGGGTCAGAGGTTTGATTCCTGCTGGATTCCCAGCCTGCATACAGAGCAGCACTTTGGATCATATGTTCCAAAAAAGGATCAATTCTGTATATTTATGAGTCAATTCTGGAGCTGCATTTGAGGGAGCTCTGGGCTCTGGTTGAATGAGATTAATTCCTTTCTCTTTATTATTGTGCTCGTCTCTGGGGTGGTCACATCATATTAAATCAAAAACACACCCTGGGATCCCCGCAGATCCATCTTATTTAGTCCTAACTCTTTAAGCATATTAAATCAAGTCAGAATGTGTTTTTGGTGAGCAGTTTCTGCACACGGCAGACACAAAGGAGGAGGTGAAGTGTGAGAGCAGGTGGAGAAAGTGAGAAATGAAGGTGATTAGGGAGGCCCTGGTAAAAGCCTCTCTTGAGACTATGTGGGAAAAGAAATAAAGAAAAGTGGATTGACAAAAGCAGACTTTGAAAGCCACAACCCTGCTTTCCTTTTTTTTTTTGTTTAGTCGTCCAGACAAAGCACCTGATTCTCTCATCAACTTGGTCTGTCTCATAAGTGAGACGAGACTTGTTGGGTTAGGGTTAGGGTTAGGGTTAGACTTTTTTCCAATGAGTTTTTACTCCAGGCTGCGTCCAAGTGTGCCAGCTCATAATCAGGTGTGTTTGTATTTTATGCATTATGAGCCTTGATGTCTTTGTTTAAGTTCCATATCTATGTTTTAAGTTTAGGAAGATGAGTTAATGAGTTAACACCTCTTATGGTTTGCCAAAAAAGAAAAAACGTCTCCTCCTCGTTTATTGTATTTCTCAACCATTAATGACTGGACCCAGCTTGGTCCCTGTGGGACCTGAACACCGGCGAATATCGGTGTCCATTTTTCCAAGAAGAAAGTGAGGTGAAGTCAGTGAACGGCACAAACGTGGTCATGCTCTTCATCGGTGCAGAAAGCTGCAGTCCGGTCTTCCCTTTGATCACCGAACCCTGATTATCAAACACTGGGCCAAAAAACTTGATGCACGTTAATCAGCGTCAGAATACACCGATAGTCTGAGTTTACATCAAACACTCTTACTGAACACTTTGATCCTCAGTGTGGAGATTTGATGTTTAATTTATGTATTTATCCTCTGGAAGGCTTTCAGGAAACCACAGTGCCTTTCCTTTGGTGCCTGAGTCTTTGAATTACCTTATTTAATTCAAACTAATGGAAGTCCTGTTAACTCTGCTTTAACTAGGTTTTATTGCGGTCAAATTTTGGGGGATATTGTTTTTCTACAGTCGACTTCACCCTCGCTACTGACATTTTTGACTGCCCCTGCACATGCCGTAAGGCTCGGTCACAAACGATCTTATATTACAATAAACCTGTCCAGCTCTATTTTCAGCTTTAGTAAAACAATCAGCTACAGTGCAACTGGAGAGTCTGGGAAGAAACCCTTAGTCTGAGGAAGTTTGCTCGGTGTGTTTTATTGAGGTTCAGTGTCCTCAGCTGGTCCACAGAGCAGCCTTTCTTCAGTATTTTTGGACTCGGTTTAACCCGGCCTCTGTGCCGCAATATCCAGCCTTTTTTTTATTAGGCCTGTCCCATTGACTTTGGGTCTAGACGCAGGGCAAATAGACTGGAAAAACGCTTGCTGTCTCGTCTCAGACACATCTCTCTCCATCATGCTCACTCCTCAGAGAGGGGAAAAGTTTCCCCGCTCCGCTTGCTCTGACCCTTTTCCACTCCGACTTCTTTTCAGGTCCTGGGCGCGCTGCAGCCCGGCCCCAACAGGGTCACTTACAACCTGTCTGTCACCCCCACGGCTCTCCCTGTTTTCTTGCCTCTGCCTTTGACCCTGTCAGCCAACTGAAACTGCTGTCACTCTAAATCTGTTAGGAACGGCTCGTAAATAAAGTTGTCAGCCACTGGGTTTGTGTAACATGATCGCACGTCTCCCGCCTCGGGGCTCTGTGGTCCCCCTTTTTTCCTCAGAACTTTTGAATATGAAAGGACCACTCAGATGTGTTGTGAGGAAGGAAAAACGCATTGTCCCAAGAAGGCTGTGCTCCCAAAAGGACAAGGGCCGATGGGGGAGAGAGATCTCAAATGCTTTGGTCCCTTCACTGATCTTGACGTGTCTCAGATCAGACAGCGTTTTTCTTCCAGGGCACAAAGCCAAGTCTCACACTAAGTTCCCCTGAATGCACTCGAAGTTGCATGTGAGAAAAATGGCCGGGCTCGTCTGGACTGGTGAACCCGAACGTCCTGAAGGAAGGGCTGCTCCGTTCACGTCTGTGGAGAACTCATGGGCGTAAATAAGAAAAACATGTGGGGAATTAAAAAGTCAGTACCATTTGTCAGGTCTAGTCAAAATAGCCCGTCGTGTTTTCTTTTTTCTCGTAACTGGACGTCTGCAGGTTGACTCATAAAAGCGCGTTTCCCTCTCTTTCCTTTTGTTTTCCCTCGCTTGCTTCTTTCCCCGGTCTCTCTGACAGCAGGTGTTTGTCCTGAGTCCCGTTCCTGCAGATGTTTTTTAAATCCCAGCATCAGCGCTAGGTTTTCTTACACTTTGTGACACTTTGACGCCTCAAGCTTCCTACATGAAGGGATTTTGTTTTGTTATAGTGCAGAACTTCTATTAGTTATTACAAAATTAATGCTTATTTTAGTTAGATTAATTGAAGTGGTCTGATAGTAGACATTTATGCATTCATACTATTTTTACCTCCTTTGCTGACTGCTGTTCACAGATACACACACATTCATTCTCTGTCTTTATCTTCATGTCACTAGCTATGAATGGCCAACAACTGTCCAGGAAACCAGTGAGGAAATCCTAAAAGCAGCATTGATAGAAGTGTGTTCTCTGGCCGTGTCTCCATGCATCTGTCAAGACAGGGCTATTTCCCACTTGGCAACAGCAGCCCCTCGGTAAATTTCTTTTAGGAAAGCAAAGGAAGGAAATCGTGACGGGGCACGGTCCCAGCAAACTCTAACCTTTGTTATGGCAGCTGACCAAATTTTTTTTAAAAATCTATTTTTTTCAAACAAAAGAAGCCTATATTTGTGTCATTGTTTATAGTAAATCAGTAATGAAGCATTTCTGAGCTGAAAGTGTTTAATTAAAACCCATTTTGTCATCACAAATGTACACATATATAGACACAATCACAAAGGGGGTAGAAACCCCCCCACAAATGCCTACAGTAACACACTAAGCAGGAATGAGTTCATCCAAGTCTCCCAGAAAGACGGAGACCCTTCCAGCAGGGTTGAGTGAAAAAGCAGCCTGTGACTCAGCAGCAGTCACCTGTGATTCAGGGGCTAGTCACGGACCACCGGCCCCAGATGTTCAGCACATCAACACCTCTCTTACAGTAATCACCCAGGCTGGTGGGTACAGATGTCAAGCTGACCACAATCGTTATTTAACCTATATTTTCCCTCAGTGCAGCCCTTTGATGGCTTCAGGTTGCATAACAGTGCTCTTACTGGAACTCTGCTAGCTCTGGAATCAGTGTGTCAGACTCTTTTTTTTTCCTAACACCATAATGATAATTCCAAAAAGTTATTTCACAGTTTGTTTGTTTTTTCTAGATGTGTTATGGACGGTGTTAAAGATGTAACTGTTAGGACTATATAAGTTATACCGTGTTAGTTTGTTTGCCAAATATAATAAGACACTTCAGGAAAATGAATCCCCCCCCTGGATGTTTGGTGCAGCGAAAAAGAAAGTATTGATTTTCACCATTACCGTCTATTAACAGATCATTATCAGTTCATGCCTCTGCTATAATTATCAGTTCTGTATGCGGGAACCATTGCTCAGCTTTGACCGAGGAGCTGGACCCACTCTGAACCCCCCCCCCCCAGGGGATTAATGGCACTGTCGCCACTCAGAGTCCGCTAATGATCCAAACCGTTCGGGAATGGTCTGCAGGTCCCTCCAGCATTTATTTGCTGCATGATATAAGCTTAACTTTGTGCAATGGCATCTATGAATGAAAGCTTTGTTTGAGTTTCTGGAAGTGGGTTTGGCGTGGGGTTCAACAGTAAAGGAAGAGCCACAGGAGCTCCGTGCTTTTAAACCAAGCGGTGAATGGGGATGAATCTGAGGTATGCAGACAGTCTCAGATGATTCTGCACTTGATCCAGTGCTCATTGATGACTGTAAAGCAGTCAGATCCAGTTAGTTGTTCAGATTGTCTTTGGTAGACAATCAAAGACCGGAGCATCTAGTCTTAAACACCTGTATGACAGCTCGCTGTGGAATTTGTTTTGACACCTTGTAAATGAACGTTTCACACATTCCATCAGTACTAACAGTTCTGTTCCTCTAAGGTTTGGATATCTGGTTTATATGTTTGGCTACAGAGAGCACAGGGGAAGTGTGCCTCATTAGTAACCAAAGAGCCAAAGCCACTAACTTTTTGAAGTGGCTTTCACTTGCAAACTTTTATTCACAGATGATCCTTGAATGACTCATTAAATTCAGGAGTACGACAGTTGAGCTGCTTTTCAGCAGCTGGCAGCTTCTGCGGGACCCCGCGGCTGACTGCTAGTGTGTTAGAGTCCTCTGCTGGTGGGCCTGAAGAAGGATCTTTTTACTGAGGGACAGACATGTGGTTGGATTGAGAAGATATTTGACCACTCACTTTGAGATTTGCACGTTAAGAACTACTTTCATTAAAAAGCTATTTTGCAAAATGCGGCACTGATCGAAATTTCTTTTCTAAATGGCCTCCCGTTTTACTGCCATTATCCGTAACTACATTTTCTCCTCTCACAGTCTTAAGATAATATATACAGGAAATTAAGTCTAATTCAGTTCAAATGCGTTCACACAGAAACGAAAAGATGTGAATGAGGACTCTCTGGTTTGAATGTTTTCATCACGGGAGTCTAAAGGATTTACTGCCAAAAATCAAATACATCGTTCCTCATTAATTCGTCAGATTGGAATGACTTCACACCTAAGTTCTTGGTAAAGGAGGAGACAGAATGGTTCATTTTGCCCTACTTGAGCTCCATTTGCAGTAAAACTAGTTACTTGGAACAGATTTAGCACTCATATTCAGGTATATGATGCTATGTTACTGAAGCTAAAGTCATTTATCATACTAAGAGACTGTAGTGGAGAGAATAATAATCGGCAGTGTGGCCGTGTGACCGGTTTGCTAAGTGGTCGGGCGCAGTGTCACTGCCCTGTCCTCATCCTCTCAAAGGATTGTTAATCAAAAACAAGCCCGGGCTCCTGGCAGCCTGGCCGCTACCCAATCAAAAACCCATTAATCTAGCAATCTACTGTAATTTGTTTCTCCACAAGCAGATGGCTGTCCTGAATGAAAGCAAACAGACATGTGTTGTGTACTGCATTTAAATGGGCTTTGTGGACTAAAAAACAAAGGCCAGATATATCCAATGGGACTGATACCTGATCAAGATTTAAGCAGTTGGTGGGCCACTGATAGCTTAATGGGCTTTGCTCACCGTGTTTACCATATGCCAGTGAGGATCAGCTCCAGCTATATTATTTGTCTGCAAAGCTCTCAGTCTTTTGACCCCCCATCTGCACAGACCTGATAACAAGCCCACATGCTTTTTGTTTTTCGTTTCCTGCCCGTCATAAACAAGCTGATTTTACCACAAATTAAATTCCATTTTATCACAACCATTCTCCAGATACAAAAGCAACAGTTGTTTGGAGTGAAAGTGCTTCCAAATCCAGCCCCAGTGGAACCAATTCCATGTTGTCAACCAACCGCAACTTGTCAAATTCAGCAGCTGACTCATCTTGATTTAATGAGCCGTAATCCTGTCAGACGTTGTGAGGAAGTGTGACTAATCTTAGCCGGCCGGCGGTGAGTCATGCAGATAGATGTGCATCATGTCTTCCTGATTCGGTTTTTGTTGAATTCCGCTTAGAATGATCCAAACCCTCCGATGGGAACCACTTGACAGGATCATGACAGGCT